ACACATACTGCCCCCCCATACACACATACTGCCCCACATGCACACATACTGCCCTCCATGCACACATACTGCCCCCCCATGCACACATACTGCCCCCCCATGCACACATACTGCCCTCATACACACATACTGCCCTCATACACACATACTGCCCCGCATACACACACACTGCCCCCATACACTGCCGCCCCATACACACACATTGCCCACATTCACACACACACTGCAACTGTTACACACACATACTGTCCCACACATACACTGTATCCCTGACATACACTGCCCCCCTACGCACACACTACAACCTTCACACACACACACACACACACACACACACACACTGCACCCCTTACACATTGCACCACCACACACACCACTGCTCCTATGCCCTACTACCGCCCCATTTCCCAGCAGACCTCAGGTAAGTTGTCAAACTGTTCTTAAACGGTTTGACTACTTACTCTAGGAGGGGGTCCCGGCACTATTGACACCAAAACCACTACACTGAGCTGTAGTAGTTATTGTGTCTGGATTATTTCTTTAAATAATCTACAAGTGCCCCTCCCGAGATCAGGCTCTGGATCCGCCACTGCCCACAATTGCCCCAATTTCAAAAGTACAGTCTTGATTTTGGGAACCAATGTCAGTGTCCATCGTTAGTACCCTGGTGTTCACTATGCAAAACACTTTTTTGTATGGGATATTTTTAGGATTTTACAGTCTACATTGAAGATCCGCCATGGACTGAATATATAGCCACACATTGCATTGACAGTGCCCCTGATATCACTCATCCCTGGCTCTCTAAGGATGCTGCAGTTGGGAGGAATACTAGAGCTGTTGCAGGACACTCCCCCAAGAACTTATAAGGTAGGCTCACAAGAAGGGTACTAAAATCATGTATATATTTCTGTATTTGTGTGCTTGCTTCTCAGGGAGTGTGTGTATGAGTGTGTGTATGTCTGGGAGTAGAGGCTCACTATCCATGGTACCCCTCGTAAAGCACTCGCAAAACACTCAGCGCCATGAGGATGAAGGGGCACCGTGTCTGCAAGCAATGGCAGCAGGGCTAGTGCTACCTGCAGGTGGTCAGGCCAGTGTTCTTGTGATGGGATTCCAGCATGGTCAAAATTTAGTAGGCCGAAATCTCCACATGGCATATGCTAATTAGTATCTGATTACAAACAGTTGGATGAGTCATCAGTATACTGAGCATGTGCAGGAATGCAGGAACTGAAATCACATTCCTTTCTCCTTTGTTTCGGATGAGCCACGTGGTCTGCCCATATAAGGTGATCCTGAATACCCTGTGTGCTGATTGGTTTGAGGAATATAGGAGGGGTTATACTGTATGGGAGGGGATATGCTGCTAACAAAAGGCCTCTGAACCATGCTTTCTGCCTCTCAGATATTTTTGAAACAGGAGTTTATCTGAGACCCGATCAGTGTGTAAATAAAAGACCTGTTACTTCCTGAAGACTTGTGTCCATATCTCTATGTGTGGCTTCTGCGGTTTGTTCCTGTTATTCCTCCGGTAACATTGTTGGTGCATTGGCCGGGAACCTCATTGCACGGAAGCTGGCGCAGAGATTTGAGATGGTAAACTTTTACCAACGTTCTCCACGGCAGCACCCCTGAACTTCTGCGTGGACCTCCTTTCGTCTCGGCGCCACTCGCCTTTTGTCCAGGAGATCATCGGCCTTTACGTAGTAAGTACCGGGTGCAGCGTCGATGAGTGTGAACCCAGGTCTAGGAACTAAAAGCTAAGACTGATCCCGTTAGAGTGGTAGGCCCACAAGGGGTTTTATATTTGGAACTGGTTATTGGAATGCCCCCTCCCTCTGGAGGGAAGAAACGAAGGCGCATCGCTTATCTGGAAAT